TTTTTTTTTTTTTTTCCTGGAATTTCCATCTTTTGACACGGACTTGGAGTGTCACGCGTCTTGGAGAAAAGTTTTCCAACCGGATTTTCCGGCCCGCGGATCGCCTCGAGTCGCAACGCGCGTGTTTTCCTCTGGAAAAGAAGAATCGCCCTTGTTTTCAACCCGAAAATACATCACCGTTTGTTCTTACTTGGCGAACCCCTGAATTTTCTAATCCGAGATGAGAAGCGCCTTCGGCCGAGCAAAAGTTTGGAACTATTACGCTCTCTCTTGGAAGAAGTATATTCTCTTGGGGAAGTATATTAAAATATTTTTGCTTAATAAAAATTATAAATAAAAAAAAAGGGGGCTTGTCGATCTTTTTAGAATAATTGCAGTAATTTAAGTAAGGAATTTAATTTATTAATTTATTATAAAAATATTTACTAATAAAAATCGAAGGAAGAAACAGAATTCGTAGATCAATCGTGAAACGATTCGATTCTGAAATTCCGTTTGACGCGAATCGTATCGTAGTGGTGAGTATCAATAAATTCCTCCTGTAAGCTGTTCGAATCTGACGATAGAATATTCGACTCTCGCACGACGATAATTGTTCTCGTTATCTCGCCGATCATTGTACGTTGAGATCAAAAGCAATTTTCATTGCCATATTTTTTGACGGAAGAAAAAGAACTCATCGAAACAATAAAGATGATGATATCACGATTGTATTAACTTACTCACTCTTCAAAATCATCATTTAATGCAAAAGTATTGCATCAGCTATTTTGGCATCGGATGATTATTTGACCAAGTGAAACGAAGTAGAGAAGGAAGAGATCGATATTACTCGAGATTTAATTTCCAATATTTACTTTATTTTATTAAGCTAGCAAAGAGGGGGGCACCATCGATCGAGGTCAGTCATAATTCGAAGAAAATATAAAATTTTTCTCATTTTCTCTTCTTAACTTCTTAACTAAAACTCTTCTTAACTAAAATTCTTATTATTATCATAGAATCGCCGAAGGATCTTGTTTACTTTTTAATGAAATTAGCGCATCGATCGACAATTACTCGATCGGTAATTGAATCGGTTTTCAAGCAAATTTGGATCA